TCGATTGATTGATTGATTGATTGATTGATTGATTGATTGATTGATTGATTAAGTAGGGTGGTGAGGGGGAAAGTCGGGGTAGGGGGAATGGGGAATTCAGGACAGTGCGGGGTAGAGTTGGGATACGTGTGTGTGGGTGTGTGGGATGGGGAAGTCGGGAGTGTGTGTGTGTGTGTGTGTGTGTGTGTGTGTGTGTGTGTGTGTGTGTGTGTGTGTGTGTGTGTGTGTGTGTGTGCGATTGGAGGAATGTTTAAAATGAGAGTGAATCTTATGCGAGAAGGCAATAAATTTATTCTCGTCTTATCTATTATGGTATAATTTATCTATGCATCTATTTATCTAGGTTTTCTTCAAACGCCTCCGATCATTGAAAAGGTGCAAACTGCCTCTCATCCTAATTGTGGTTGAGAAATAGTTCGGACTACCAACGTTGGTCAAGATCGAGTTCAACGAGCAGAAAATAACATTTTTATAAAAAACATCATTACTGATGAATGCTTGCTAATGAATAAGTTGGTTATCGATTGCGTTGTGCATAGTGCAACTATCGTTCCTTTTATTCCTCGACCTCCGCTCTCTTTTTTCTGGTTTTCTTTGCCTATTTTTTTATTTCTAACAAGTGTTGAGCGCAAGTGTCCATCTCATAATGCATACGTTTGCCAAGTCTTTGAGCTCATCCTCAGAAGCAATAATAACGAAATGGTTGTTTTAACGCAAAATTGCAAGTGTTGAATGATAGTCTTCGAATCTGATCCGGATTTATTCATATATATGTGTTTGATAATATATTTGTAAGATATATATGCATATATATCGTCAAACATAACTGCCCGGCAAATCGTTGGCAAAGAAGGAGAAGAGGACAATGAACGATGGACTGTGACAAACTGTTTCGACAGAGTTTCACCGACTCGTGTGGAGGCTGAACCTTGTATGTGTATGTATAGGGGCAACTATGGCGCAGTCACAAAAACAGTTTGAAAATGCACTTCACGTAATCTCTCGAACATAACACACCCTCACGTGAACCCACCGGACCCGGAAGCTGACTTATATACATTTGACATTTTCTGGCCTTTTGCCTGAAGTGCGTTTTTAAACTCAAACCGTGACTAGTGACAACAGCGTAGTTTTCTTATATATATATATATATATCTCGTCAAATAGAACTGCCCGGTAAACCGTAGGCAGAGAGGGAGAAGAGGACAACAAACGAGGGGCTGTGATATATATATATATATATATATATATATATATACAGGGTCACCAGCCTGTACGTACGGAGGTCCACGGGCTGACCTCCGTACGTACGGGCGTTCGGGATCCCTTTCAGGGTCCGAACCTAACGGTGTTCGGCCCCCGCCAAAAAATATTTCGGGGCCTAAAAATAAGTGTTTTTTTTTCTGAGTTGTATTTTGTGAGCTCTCTATGATGTGAGGTACATGACTATAAATTTCGAAGTCATTTTGCTAAGCCAAATAAAAATTAAAAATCGCCAAAGATGGCGGTGTCAAAAGGTGCTCGCCCACTCACTTTTTTTTTTTTTTTTTTTTTCCAGTTTTTACTTTTTGTTTTCACTTTGTTGTGGGGTTTAAAAAAAATTATTATTTTTTGAAACTTTTTTAATGAGTTTTTTATTATGTGAAGTACACATCCATAAATTTTCAGGGTATTTGGCTGTGCCAGAAAAAAAAATAAAAAATAGCCAAAGATGGAGGCGTCGAAAATGTGCTCGCTCACTCGCCAATTTTAATTCGCTTCTCATTTTTTTTTTTTTATTAGTTTTATTTTCTGTATTTTATTTTTATTTCAAATTTGGAATTTGGATGTACTGATCAGGCAAATGTTGTTCTTTTATTTTGGTTCCTAACATATCTTTTTTTTCAGATTTGTTTGAATTGTTTTTTTTTTTTTTTTCTTTTTTTTTCTTTTGGTTCGCGTTCGGCCCGAACGGCTGAACGCATCCCCAAGGGGTCCCGTACGTTGGGGTGTTCGGGTTCGGGCGTTTGGCCCGTCCCGTACGCCGGTTACCCTGTATATATATATTTCAGTGGCTCGATGGGGGCCCTAATTTTGCACCCTCTCCTTTTTCTACGGCATAATATTTTTCCAAGCGCGTTGTTGTGGGTTATTCACAAAACCGAGTTTTCTGGGGGAAAAAGAGTAAACAGACAGTGGGGCTCAGCCCACCAGTCCAACCACGAAAAGTGGGCCTTTTCTGGATGATCGGAAGAACTTGGGCCTTTTGTCTGGGATGATTGTGAAGATCCTGAACTTCCTTCTCAGGACATAGGGGCACCAGGACCTTCCTGCATGTATCTGACCGTAATTAAGGCCCTAGATGCCTGACCCTCCTGGCATGAGCACGCCAAGATTTGGGTGAAGTGAACGAACGGCAGGTTCGGGTTGGCAAGCTCGAAGACTACGAGGTAACCCAGTTAGTATGGGTCTGTGGGTCTCGCCACACAAGACACGAAATGAAAAAAAGCGAGTGCATCGGTGCGAATATACATCCTGTGCTATTCATTGTAACCAATGAATCTTTCGACGCTATGCCCGTAAGATGCACTAAGGGCCTCGTCGCACTACACGCCATCCGCCAACATTTTGATTGCATGTGGACGTAATTGTGTCCAGATGCGTTCGAAATCTTGGCGGATGGAGTAGTGTAACCAGGGCCTCATTCTTTTCTCGTTCGGTGTGCTGTGTGGCAAGGGCCTGTATGTGCTGATGCACACTTTCAATGCATGATTGGCATCGGGGCGTGGTGCATTCTGGCGGGCTGATTATGCCCTCTCAAATAGAGACGGGCCATTTCTGAACTGAACCGAACTCTACCAGACTGGATCCTGTAGGGAAAAAGGATAACAAATTTGAACTTCTTCCGGAATTGTCTGCTTCCACAATTCAACCCCGGTAGGATACTGACAGCATCAGACCCCAGCCCCGTATTTTCTTTTTTTTATTTATAAATTTGGACCTCGAAACTTGGCGGTAATCCAGTGAAGTCCAGTGAATATCAACGTGGCGTTTCGTGGCAGCGAGAGGAACAACTGATCGGACGGGCCAAGGGCGGGAAGTGGGAGAGCGTCTGCATTACAATTTGCCAGCGCCGTTGGATGTGCGGCCCACCCGCCGCTCCTGCCGTCGCGAACCTGACGCCTCGCTGACCCGGTTCAGGTAACGTGGAAGTGTCCTGGATGTGCCTAGCCAGCTTCACGTCGACGTTCATTTGAAATTTGAAACACCCCCCGCGGTGGTGCCGATGATAGTGATGGCACAAACGGCGGGCCACGGTTGTTGTTGTGGCGGGAAGAGGGGTGCCCGGCGGAAATCCTGGGAACCCATCTGTCTCGGCCTGCAGATATACAGACTGGTTACGTGTTTATCCCTTGTCCATCCTCTTTTGCCACGTCCGTGCCTGTGGCTACGGGCATCGCCACACCACTCTCGAAATGTGCAAAATGGGAATGAACTTTCCTGTAGAACATGGCCAGATGCTCGCGGCCCCTTTTTGTTTTGTCTTTTTCACATTTCGAGACTAGTGTGGCGAGGCCCTACGAAATTTGGCGACGGGAGGTCCGGTCGGGGCACAGCTCGCGCTCGGGCGGGCGGGAGGGAGGGTCGGGGATGAGGAGGAGGTGAAGGAGGTGGTACCAATCGGTTGTAGCGTTCCTAGCGTCGAAATCTCCTAATTTGCGCAAGTGGGACCTTGCCCCAGGTGTGAACAACGGGTGGAAAGTCTCGCTGCTATCTCGCTGCTATTACTCATCCCGAGTGCATATGAATGTTGCTGCCCACTGAACGCGTTTTCCTGCGTAGTTGTGTAGTTGCTAACTGTTCCTTACCCTACCCCGCCCCCTCCCTTTCTCTCTTACGTCCGCGGAGAGCGCCTGCGAGGCGTGCAATGCGTCCATATTTCCGTAGTGTATTTTCGGTCGTCCATAGTTCCGTAGTGTATTTTCCGTATACGAGGCTGAATTTTTACCACTCACACTCCCGCGAGGTTTATTTCTCCCCTCCCCTCTTCTCTCGTCTTGTTTCAGCTCCCCTCCTCTCCTGTTTCATTGCTTGCACGCTCTAAACCGACCTACAAGGAACAAGCTTTGTGGTGGTGACACGTGGCTGACCCCTGTAATATCCGTTTACCTGTATATTGATTACCATCGGCCGAAGGTGAAAGGGACCTCCTCCTTGCCAGTCTGGCAAGAGCGCTTGCTGGCTGTACACAATTTTACGCATTGCGTTCGTTGCCAGGAACTTTTCTCTGCCGTGGAAGGTAGATTCAGCCAAACGATTCATTGATGAAAGACCTTCACGAAGCGGCGCCATGTACGAGCCGTGGTACTCTGCATCAGTCTTGTGGCTCTAGATCCGGCTGCTGTGGAGGTAAGCCCTCTTCTTCTCTGCGCGGCTGTACGGACGATGTCAAGGTCAGGTCTATTTCGGAAGGGCGAGGTAAGGAGACAGGAAGGGATACACAAACGACGGCACTCAGAGCGGCAGGGCCGTCTCACATTGTTTGCGAGTTGAGCACATCAATGGTGCCATTTCGAAACGAGCAATCAATTGTTAGGTCTTGGCGGCGGTGTTTAAGCGATCGGCGGGAGAGGCATTCCAGTGGAAACAAGAGATAGCGAGGCCTCCCTCACCGTCGGAGGGCAGATTCGATTATCTCCTGCACTCTCCCGAAGTGTAGTCCAATGTACATGTAGTCTTTGGGTGTCTCTGTGTGTGTGTGGGAGAGGGAGAGAGAGAGAGAGAGAGAGAGAGAGAGAGAGAGAGAGAAGTTTGGTGGATTAGAAATGAAGCTCATCTATCTTCGGAACCGCAGGGGGTCTTGACGACGATTATCGACTAAGCGCGCTTGCGCATACCTCGCTCCATGGTACATTGGAGGCGCTACGTTGTGACTCGAATCCGGGCTTTAGGCTAAGCAATCGCGGGAATCGATTGCTTTATGGACAGCGTGGGCCGGCGAACTGCTTTTTGAACCAGACCGTGTGTGTGCCAGTATCCTTCTGTAGGTGTCTTTCTTGCTCTCTGCTTGGCGCTTGTAAGTGATCTGTCCTCTTCTCCCTGTCTCCTTATCCCTGTGATCATTGCCCTCGGATGGTTGCTTGTTTGATGGATTTGCAATATCTACCGGCGCCTGCGGATCAGTCAGTGTCGGACCGTCGCACTGTATCGATGGGTTTGGACAGGACTAGAAAGAAAAGCATGAAGGGAAGACGGCAAGGCGCCCCACGCCCCCCTCCGATCACAATACAAGCCGACGCAGCGTCTTTTCGAACGCTCGTTCAAGAGCTTACCGGACCTGTATTGAACAACAAGGATGAAGTGACGGGTGGGGTTCACGAGGAGGAGCATCGGCTAGTGCATCAGCCACAGCAGTTGCAGAGGTGTTCACCGAGGAATGTGAGCGAGAGAATTCGGTCGATGGCGCCGCCACCGTTGACAGCTCCGTTGTCGGCCAGCATGAGGACAGTGCAAGGAGCGGAACTCCAGCAGCGAACCTGTGCGCAGCTGACAAATGGGTGCTTCCAAGCTGTGCCGACGAATGCCACGTGGGACTGTTTCTTGAGCTCTCTGAGTCCTTTCCAGATGATGTCCCCCATACAAAGAGCTCAGCCGTTGGCGTCGCCGCGGTCGCAGCAGCAGCAGCAGCAGCAGCAGCAGCAGCAGCAACAGCACCTGCAGCAGCAGGAAGATCATCAGTTTTTCCATCTACAACAGGGAGGGGGAGGGGACCAGCCACCGGTTATGGTACAACCACCGCTATTTTTCCCGGCGTCGCCGACGGATCTTTTCTCGCCTGTGCTTACGCCCGCTAATACCACACCTTTCTCCTTTCTGGGACCGGACTCGCCTGGGAGTATCAATTTCAAGGAGTTGATGTCTGCCATCATGCATCAGCAGCAGCAAGCGCTTGTACAGCAGCAGCAGCAATCACTTGTGCAGCAGCAGCAGCAGCAAGCGCTTGTGCAGCAGCAGCAGCAGCAGCAGCAAGCCCTTGTGCAGCAGCAGCAGCAGCAAGCGCTTGTGCANCAGCAAGCGCTTGTGCAGCAGCAGCAGCAGCAGCAAGCGCTTGTGCAGCAGCAGCAGCAGCAAGCGCTTGTGCAGCAGCAGCAGCAGCAGCAGCAGCAGCATCAAGAACATCAGGACCTGCAGATTCAGCAGCAGTTTGAACAGCAGCAGCAGCAGCAGCAGCAGCTGAAGCTCACCTCCATGGAGCAGCAGCAGAGTAGGACGGTCGATTGCAAGGATCAGCCGCAGCAGGAGCATATTCCGGGCGGAGCCGGAGTTGTGGGCTCAGAGTTTGCGTTTCAGCGTCAGCAGCCCAACCAGGAACAGCAGCGACATCCGCCGTCTTCGTCCGATGAACTCAGCGGCTCGACCGGCGGCAGTGTTGACAGCGTCTTTGGCGATCGGGATGAGAGTATTGGGTTTGAACTTCAGAGTAGCGCGATGTCTGCCGGGGAATTGCACTTCGACTGGACGGCAGCTGCTGCCGCTGCCGCTGCCGCGGTTGACATGGGCCGAGCGGGTACTACTAGCCAATCGTCTGCCGCTTCGTCGGTGTCTGGCTCGACGGACTTTTCCAGTGACTCCTCGGGCGATATGTTCCGAGCTCTCTCGTCATCTTGTCTCGATGACGAGGATACGGACGCGAACTTCGGTGCGTTGGATGCGAAGGGGAACTCCAACATGGAGGACGTCTTCGACTGTTGTTTCAGGACTTCGTCGTCATCTTCCACATCCTCGTCATTCGCAGGCGATTCGGTTGGCTTTCACGGTAGTGAATTCCCGTCTCCCAATTTTATGGCCAGTTTCGGGATGACTCTCGCCGTAGCATCGTCTATGGGCTCACACGCGTTCCAGACGCCGTCGAATCTCCCGACAGCAATGGATGGAGGTGGAGGTGGTTGCTTCATTCAGGCAGACTTGTCGATGGAACCGCCGTTGATGGGATGGTGACAGACGAGCTCTATCTAAGTAAGTGAAGGTAGACTGCAAACATATATAGCGAGAGCGAAGGCGTGGCCGGAAGGAGCACCTGAAGCACGGGATGAGATGTTATCGAGTTGTATGTGAAGGACCGGGAAGGCGGAGCGAAAGTGTATCATCTGCACAGCACGCCCTTGGGGGATGAGGTGGTGCTTCTTCTTAAGGCATTCACGCGGTCACTGTCACCCTCTCGAGGTTAGTCATTGTGCGACTCTTGACTATCACCTCAGCGTGCATTCCGTTGTTGGGTTGGGTTGGGTTCAGACACCAACTCCATGACGTCTGGTACAGACGGGTCACCATCCTGGCCTTGGTGGTGATGTCAGGTGGGACCAGCGTTGTCGTTCTTCTATGCTAATTTCGTTTACGATGGGCGGGCTCGGTAACAGCAGTTAGGGATCCAGGGGTTGGAAGAGGGGAGGAAGAGAGAAGAGAGGCTTAAGCTAGCCGACGGGTGGACGGAGGGGGAGGGAGTGATGAGGTTGTCGGAGTAAATGGTGGAATGTCAGGGGAACAGGCAAGCTTGGTTGTCCCGTTAGCCGAGTGTTCGGCAGCTCCTAGGTAGCAGCGGAAGAGGGGGGGGGGGGGGGGGGGGGGGGGGGGGGGGGGGAGGTGAGTGCGGTAAAGGTGATAAAGAAGTGCCGAGAGCTTGGCGGTGTCTGGAGGAGAAATGGGGGGGCAGTTGTGGGTAATATATATGCTTCAACTCGCTCGCGCCAGCGGGTTTTGCCCACGTATTGATGAACTGGCGTACGAATGCGTGATGTCTTTGGGGGTGGTTGACGCAAGGATTATTTTGCGCAGAGAAGCGGGTCCCTGGCTGGTTCCGGGTTCCCCTTGTCGTGCTCTACCGTCGCGTTCCTCGCTCTGCAAGTGAGAGCACTATTCCAGTCCAGATGAGGAACGATAAACACGCGTAGTCGTTGAGCATAAGAGATCGTTGCTGCCTTTTTGCTGTAACGCCGTTGGTTTGTATGTCTGACACGGGGAAGGAGATGTGGGGCAGTGCTTGGTGATGGTAGGGGATGGAGGGTAGGGGGAGGGAGGCGGCTGGCGTGGGCACAAGGGAGTGTGAGTGAAGGCACTGCTGTCCGTCCACTCTTTACGTCGATCCACTGGTGTGTGGAGAGAGACTGCGGTAGTGTT